TATGTATGTATGTATGTATGTATGTATGTATTTATGTATGTATGTATGTATGTATGTATGTATGTATGTGTGTATGTATGTATGTATGTATGTATGTATGTATGTATGTACGTATGTATGTATGTATGTGTGTGTGTATGTATGTATGTATGTATGTATGTATGCATATATATATAGCATTTTCTACTTTTATCGAAAGGAGACGCATGCATACTAATACACATACCTTCTTTCGCTGGTTTGGTTGCATCCTTCGTTTTGCCATTAGCGGCTGCTTTGGTTGCAGGCGCAGCGACCAATGAACCAGCCTTCAGTATAGCTACAGTGGGTTGAGTCGGCTCTTCAGCTTTGACCTTTTTCCTCTTTGGCTTGCTTTTATCTACTGGGGCCTTCTCAAGTGGCATGAGATTGGTATTCACTGCACCGACGACAGGCACAATGTGCTGCAGTGGCGGAGCACTGTTTACTATGCCAACCTGTGGCAGAGCGGATGCCTTCTCACTCGTGTTCACTGTACTTGTGTTCGTGATTGTGCTGGTGTTGCGTAGGTCTTCTGGAAGCGGTCGTTTGTTAGTGGCTGGCGTGACCTCGCCAGGCGCTTGCAAGGCTACGCTCTCCATTGTGTATTTGCGAAAATATTATAAATATCGGGCATATATAAGCCGGTTCAAACTTAAAGATAGACAAGATATAAACTGCACGTGTGAAAGTTGCCAATAAATCTAGTTCAAATCTATCGTTGTTTTATGAACGATCAAGTGCTATATATATCAGAGTACAGTTCCTCTCTTATCAACACAAGGTTGTAGTGTCCGCCCATGTATACATAAACTACATATCCCCATAAAAGCTATCCTATACACGACACATGCCCAGCTGAACCAAAAATAAAATATTCACCTGAGACGGCACACGATACTACCAACTTCAAACGTTTCAAGATCGCGTACTGGGCCTGTAGGCTGAGCGGCTGGAGCCATACTGCGAGCCCCTGTATTTATTAGGTGTCCTGCTTGACTTACTTCGCCGCGTAAATTTAGGACTCGATTGCTTGACCAATCATATTCTATCTATTTCTATCTATTTTTTAGTTCATATCGTTGTGATAATCAGGAAGATTGATATTTTATGTCGTAAATATATATTATATATTTGTCGGATATTGATCCGTTCTTCTATTTGGTCATATGTGCCAATGTGGTCACTTCTGATCACTACCTTCTCTAAATATAATAAAAAATATCATATTTAAAAATAGCCCGTGTCTCATTTAGAAGAAGGCTATGAAAATTTGAAAATATGTATATAATAAAATGAGTGTATTAATAAAAAAAAGTACCCACTGTAAAATGCTTCAAATCGACGAGATTGGATTTGACATTTTTTTTTAAATTAAGGGCAGTCTATCACGAAATAAATATTATTATCCCTATCCGAACGACTTCTGGGGCCTGGAAGCTCCTCTCTCTCTCTCTCTCTCTCTCTCTCTCTCTCTCT